ACGCCTAACTTGGTGTATTATTTTTAAAATTTTGCTGGTGAATGCTTAACAAAATACATGAATCATATTAATGTCAATAAAAATTAAGCATTATTAATGGTGAATGCTTAAAAAAAATACACCCTGACTTACCAAGATACTCGAGCACACAATATGAGTAATTCACGCTATAAATCTCATATTCAAAATATGTGTCATTATATTGTTCTCTCATAGTTCAAGAAGACTGAAATCTACATTAATATTCTATAATTTTTGTGTATACCAAGTTTTTCGGATACGTTGGTTAATTTTTTTATTTTGTCCCTAATAGGTATTTTACATGGTTTTTTTAATACATGTACATAAACTTTTGTTTCGAAACATGATTGTTGGGATGAAAATATGTTATCCACATTTAATGGTGGTATTGTGTAACTAAGTTTTTTTGGAGATGTTGATTGATGATTCTATTTTGATCTTTACTTACTATTCTCCATAGGTTTTAATTTTAATACATAAACTTTTGTTTCAAAACTTGATTTTTGCGATGAAAATATGTTATCTATGTCGAATGTTGGTGTTGTGTTCGAAATCATGTTTTTCAAAGACGTTGAGTAATTTTTCTATTTTGGTCTCTAATTACTATCTTCCATGGGTTTTTTCAATACATAAATTTTTGTATCGAAACATTATTATTGCGATGAAAATATGTTTTCCACATTGAATGTTAGTGTTTTGTTGAAAACCAAGTTTTTTCGGAGACATTGATTTATTTTTCTATTTTCGTCACTAATTACTATTTTACATGGGTTTTTTAATACTTAACCTTTTGTTTCAAAACATGATTTTTGCGATAAAATAATATGTTATCCACTTCAAATGTTGGTGTTGTGTTCAAAGCCAAATTTTTTGGAGACGTTGATTAATTTTTATTTTGGTGTCTATTTACTATTTTCCATAGTTTTTTACTTTTTTTTATACTTAAACTTTTGTTTCAAAACATGATTTTTGCAATAAAAATATGTTATCCACATCAAATGTTGGTGTTGTGTTTGAAACCAAGTTTTTTCAGAGGCGCTGATTAATTTTTCTATTTTGGTCTCCAATTACTCTTTTACATGGTTTTTTTTTTAATGCATAAACTTTTAGTTCAAGACGTGATTTTTGGATGAAAATACTATATCCACATCAAATATTGGTGTTGTATTCAAACCAAGTTTTTTCAAAGACTTTGATTAATTTCTTTGTCTCTAATTACAATCTTTAATGTCTTTTTTCAACACTTAAACTTTTGTTTCGAAACATGATTTTTGCAATGAAAATATGTTATCCACATCAAATGTTGGTGTTGTGCTTGACCCCATCGCAACCATCATGGAAAGCACTTATCCAATGGTTAGATATTGCATTGATGACCCCATCTATTTGAAAGATAGGGCTATATAAGATCCAACATTAGATGTTGTTGACTCCATCAATGAATATATGTCATCTTTGAATCAATCGGAGGATAATACTTATTTAAGTTCTGATACAACATGCAAATCCGATGGTGGTGTTGATTTCTTCCATGACCTGCACACGCTGGAGTTCTTAAATAGTATAAAATGTTCTGGTGTTCTAAATCATGAATTGCACTTAAATGTTGAGTCTCTTGTCATGTTTTTTAGAAACATTGATCGTTCGATTTGACTGTGTAATGGAACACGCTTGGTGATAACGATGCTTTCCACCTACGTGTTCCAATGTAAGATTTTAATATGGTCAAATGCTAGACATAAGGTATTGGTACCAAGAATTTCCCTAACTCCATCTGATCTCAGGATACCCTTCAAGTTCCAACGAAGAAAATTTACTCTTATGTTTTCATACGCAATGACAATCAACAAGAGTCAAGAGCAATCATTATCACATGTCGAACTTTACTTGAAAAGACCCGTGTTCAGTCATGGTCAATTATACGTTGATGTGTCTCGAGTCACTAATCCACATGGATTGAAGATATTAATATGTGGGGACGATAATGGGGAAAAGAAAACTAATAAATTTTTCACAATTTGTAATACCCTACAATATTGTACTTTACTATCTATTCAATAATAATGTTTTTTATTTGTCATTTACTTTTTATTATATATATATATATTAATGTATTTATTAAATATATTTTAATAAATATGTTCCGTGCATCGCACGGGTGAAGATACTAGTTAAACACTAATTCACCTCCAACCGAAATAATAAGTATTAACTAAAAATATTAATACCTATTTTTGAGTAAGTAAAAAATTACAATATTCTTTATTTTAAATTTTAATAATGTTATAAAAAGTTTATATTATTTAAATTTAATATCAATATTTTCTTAAACTTTTCTGAAGTTAATTCAAACTTTTTAAGAATATTATATAAATATTTTACAAATACTTTCATAATTTGTTGATTCAAAGAAATATCCTGGAAATATTTTACAAATACTTTCATAATTTTTTTATTAATAATTTATAGAATGCACACATTCTATGTAAATATATAATTTATTCGTATATATTTAATTTTTTTTTGTGGCGTGTAAAATAAAAACATGTATAAATATAAATTAGAGATAAACAAATCTATATATATATATAAAGAGGGAGTTGATGGAATTGATGTTACTAATGATAGCAGTAAATGCTTCTTTTGGAAATGGTATCAACAATATTTTTGGAAATAAATATATAATTAGTATGTTTGCCTTTTAGATTTGATAAATCATTCATGATAATTAGTTAACAATTTAATATGTAATAAGTATTTTCTATGACTTGATTTTTAGAAATAAATTTATAATTAGTATGTCTGCCCTTTTGATTTACTAAATCATTCATGATAATTAGTTCTCAATTTAATATATAATAAGTATTTTCTGACTTAAAAGACGATATTAATTAATTACTGACATATTTAGTGATTGAATTAAATGATATAATACATATTAGTGTCTATGCATAATATAAATATCATGAAAATTGGTGCCTACGCATAAAATAATTATTATGAGGCTCATGATTCAACCTGATTCAAATTTCAAGAAGTGCCTATGCATAATATAATTATTACGCCATACACTATTATTCAGCCTGATTCAATTTTCAATTAGTGTCGCCTATGCGTAATATAAT